TCTGGAAACATCCTTACTACCATACTCTGAAAACATCCTTACTACCATACTCTGGAAACATCCTTACTACCATACTCTGAAAACATCCTTACTACCATACTCTGGAAAACATCCTTACTACCATTACTACTTCATGGACTGGTAGTTTCACTACCTTTACTACCGCCACTGGCTCGGATGGTGTTGAAACTTTGATCATCGAAGTGCCAGTTTCTACCAGCATTCAAAGCTCTGTCGTCACTTTAATACCAAGCAGTTCTAGAAGACTTCCTTGGAATTCCAGTTCCATAGAACGCTCTAGTGGCATTGAAACTACTTCATCATCTTCTTCAATTCTTTTGACTACCATTTCTTCCCCTTCGGTTGAGTCTTCAAGTCTCATTTCAAACTCAATTAGCCCTTCTTCGTCTGTGATTTCATCCGCAATTCATTCTCAAGAAATGTCTAATTCTGCTGCCCCTCCCTCGAGATCTGGTGGAGACCATGGAATTCCAGTTAGTACTGTTGACTCGACTACCNTTACATTGCTTCCAACCCCAAGCAATGTTTCCACTGATTCTAGTGCAACCGTTACACTGGTTTCTTCAAATTTTAGTCCAGAACAAAATGGCAACCCAGTAACCACTATGGTATCCAGTAGCAGTCACTCGGCTGTTTCTGCATCATACATACCTTCGATTTCCAGTTATGAGGGTTGGGCATCGAGACCTCAAGCTTCTAAGCTCTTGTTTGTATTGCTTCCATTATTTGCATTCTAATTCTGCTCAAATGCAGTTCCAACATTTTATATTCATTATTTCGGTATCTAAAAATTCAATTGATAGATTAAAGATTTTCAAAAACTGTAAAACTCACTGTTTGGTGCTCCCACGGTCTGAGTGAACTAAGATCACCCTTTCATATTGGGAAGATAGAATATTGATTCTTGCTCAAAGTATCTAGCGGAAGCTTTTAGACAGAAGTAGTAGTAGACATTCTAGTGATGGCAAAATCAGTGACATGATTCAAGGCTGAATCTTTAGTTTAAATTGGAACTGGAGTCTTGATAATCACTGTTATCATCACCAGTTGTAATATTGATAGTTGTGTCATAATCAGCCATAGCAAAATCAGTGTTTATCTTTTGTTCTTAACACGAGAAAAGGTAAGGATGCTTGGGGAACCCAAATTCCTCACTGTGAAACAGTTAGTCCAGATTACGATCGGTGCTTTGATAGAATTCCTAATATCTTGGCCAATAGTAAATTTTTAGCAGTTAACAATTAAGTGGGCCAGCTGTACAAACATTAAGCAGCCTCACGTAAGATATTTCTACACGCTGAAGAGTATATTCCCAAGTTGGAATGGACGGTTAAAGTGGTTTCCGAAAGAATGTTTATGGCAGATCCAAATTGTAGTAATGTAGAAGCTTTCAATTTCCAGATGGTTTACAGGTTGGTCGGAATTAAATGTTATCATCTTTTCTTAGTTAGTTTTGGTAGTATACTTGTACATTTCCCGAGCCTAGCGAAATAGCCTTAATACCAAGGCTATATATTGGTATTTGGTATTCTGCTAAGCGCAATCTCCGTTTTAATTTTATAGGCAAGTTCGTTTCAAATTCGATAAAGCTACGCTTTTCTACCGAAAAGCTAGCTTTCTAAACCCACAAATATGCGAGGCTGGGTAGGTGCTCCAAAAAGTTATGAAATGACTAACACGTGACTGTAAGTCACTACGATAGTTATGAGTTATATAGATTGGAGATAGACGCAACGATCGTTCACGTCACAACCATCGAATGTATGTGTCTTAGTATTGAGAGCTATACCAGATTATTCGGCTGCCATATAAATTACTGAAATCTTCCGTTTATTTGAGATTCGCTGTCATCTGGCTACTTTAGCCGATGAGGTATTTAATTACGTGGGGCTTCTCATGAATAACCACTACCCCGTTCATTTCCACTTCCAGGCAATCCTATCCTTCTTCGGTCTTTATCAGGAAAGCCCTGCCATTTGTGGGTAAAAATACTATTTTCCCAGCTTTGTATGACTTTCCTCCGGGACCGTAGAGTTTCGTAGCTCCATGTTGCAATTCACTATGTCATTTTGAGAATCTGAATGTTAGTAATTCCCACGTTATTTAGTAGTTCACAAGTAATTCTCTATTTCGCTCAAAAGGTAAATTTTGTATGGCATTCTTTCATTTCAGTTCGATCTATATTTTGTTGGTTTATGAGTTGATTATTCATTAGTGTCATGCCATTCAGCAGACACATGGGTCTTTTACAAGTTTTTCGCAATGATTTTTGCATTTTATTCGCAACATTTGTAGATTGCTGTCAATCAACCTCAACAGTTATATATAACCCCCGTAAGTACCCAATGCATTGAATCAACTATCATGAAGTTATCCAACTTCCTTGTCTCTTCGAGCGCTTTTGCTCTCACTTACGCTGCTTCCCCTTCAATTTGGTTCACAGGTGATAACCGGATTAGTGGTCAAATTATAAAACAGACACAAAAGTGGAATATTCCAGGCGACAAGGTCACAGGTTACTACTATGGCACTCAGTTCTTCTTTTCCGGCACAAATGAGATAGGTTACTATGGGCCTCAGCCTCGCCCAGAAGGCACAACCAACCACCTAGCCTTCAGTGTGTTTGGCTACGGACCTTACTCAGACCACCCAAATTGTTCAAAAAGTGCTGACGGTGGCCCAGGTGTTTCATGTGCTATCGACTTTCCCTGGGAGTACGGAAAGAACTATACCACTGAAGTAGCTCGGACGGCACAAAATGATACCGATGGTAGCAATAGATGGACGGGTACTTTGATTGATGATGAAACTGGTCAGCGCGTTGTTATCGGTGAGTACTGGACTCCCCAAAACTACTCCTTGCTTACAACTGGGGGTAACACTTTCGACGAGTTGTACACATGGGAGCCCACAGAAAGCAAGCCATGTATTCCTCAAAACACCTACATCGGATTCTACCCCGTGTATCACCTGACTGATGGAAGCACGTTCACTGCCAGCATCGATAACTTTGCTAACCTTAATGTCCTAGGAGATGCATGTGCAAGGGCTGCGAACGAATCCAATCAACAGGCCTATACAATCCCTGGAGGGTTCGTGTTCTCGAATGGGGTGCTCAACGTGGAGTATGAAGGACATGTCAAACCATTATGAATTGAATTATTTCTTTGCTTTAATTGGGCTACTAGTAAACTAGTGTCATTTTTTAATATTATTTTTATGTCGATCGTGAATGTTTACTGAGTGGTAACTCCTTGTAGTACAATTGTTGATTTGCGAACTATAAAACGAGAAATTTATTAAACCGTACCGACGTTGGGGCATCTGTACCATACAATCTAGCAGCCAAGGTAATCAGGAGAAGTTTAGTTCGGAATGCTAGTACTGAACCATAGGATGCTCCTTGCAGTGAGTGAAGGCGCACTTGAACCATTGGTACCGTCACTGATCTCACCAGTAGACCCGGCAATCTAAATGGATGATGCACGACTTCTGTTCTAATTCAATATTGAATCTACTAACATAATTAAGTATTTGTACTACTAAGGTTGTGAGTGAATTCATTTTCTTCATGTCTTTTTCATTTAAAAAAAATTATAGTCTAAACTTTGCATCGATATAGTCTATCAGATTACTCGTTTTTTGATTCTATTCTAATTCCATTACAGCTAAACATTCTTACCATTCACGCCCATTTTCTAGATAACTATGCAATGTATCGAAAAATCTAAGCATTATTTTCCCCTTTTTTGAATTATGCAAGAATACAAAGTTCAATGCTGTGCCGTAATCTCACAGCAATACTACAATCACTAAGTACTAATACACACTACAAGCAAAGATATTAATACCGAAAACTATTCTATTTTGTCTGTAACCCATCAATATAACACAGTCCAGATTCTTTAGAAAAATAAAAATTGAAGAAATTAAAAATACCAATTGTGCATTTGGATACTAGAATGCATATGCAACCATTGCAACCAATGCAACTAAGAACTCAGAAGCCTTGGGTCTTGATGCCCATCCCTCATAACTACTAATGGAAGGGAAAAAGGCAGTTGCCGAGACACTTGATCCAATGACACTGCTATTCGGGACTAACGTGGTTACTGTGTTACCACCGTGTTCCGAAGTTGGAACCTCAGGGTGTACGGCAACCAGTGGATAGGTTCTAGGGAATGCGCCAGAACCAGTGGAAATGCCACTTAGAATTGGACTAGTAGATGAGTCAACATTACTACCTGGAATACCACTGTCATGGCTAGGTCCCGTTGAGATGACAGCTTCCTTGGAGGTTTCCCGAGGGTGGGTAGAAGTGTCTGAATGAGTGGTCAATCGGGTCAAAGAAGTAGAAGGAATAACTGGGGATGAAATAACGCTTGAGGATTCACTAGGGAATGTAGCCACCGAGGAAGTGGATAAATCAGAAGAAACAAAAGGTAAGGAAGTAGTCGAGATAATTAATGCTGAAGTGGTTTCATGAACAGTAGTCAGTTCTATGGCACTTGAGTTCCATGGAAGTCTTCTGGAACTGCTGGATGTTAAGGTAACAGAAGAGAAAGAACTCAGTACTGGGGTACTCTGAACGCTGGATGGTGCATCCCTAGGAGAAACTGGAACTTGGACAATCACAGTATCAACGCCATCAGTACCAGTAGCGGTAGTAGAAGTAGTGTAACTTCCGGTCCATTGGGAGGTAACTGAGANAACCGATTTTGGAGCGGGAATTTCAATCACCAATGTGTTGGTTCCATCGGTACCGGTTCTGGTAATAGTGTTGGTGAAAGAACCAGTCCATGAAGCAGAAACAGTGGTGGTTGCAACTGGAACCTCGATGATCACAGTATCAACACCATCAGTGCCAGCAACAGTGGTAGCGGTTGTATAAGTACCTGTCCATGCAGAAGTAACTGTGGCCTCAGATCTTTGTGCTGGAGTTTCAATCACCAAGGTGTTAGTTCCATCAGTACCAGTTCTAGTAACGGTGTTGGTGAAAGTACCAGTCCATTGAGACGTGACAATAACAGTTCTGAATGGCAAAAGTACAATCAAGGTATCCAAACCATCTGTACCAGTTGCGGTAGTTGAAGTAACAAAACTACCAGTCCATTGGGTACTGATGGTAGTACTATGTAGAACTGGTGTTTCAATGACCACAGTGTTGGTGCCATTACCAGTTCTAGTAACAGTAGT